TTCGAATTGTCAACTATGTTCCATAGCTTCTCTGATGAATGTGGTCTAAAAACTTATTGTGAGCAAAAATGTTCAGGTTATAAAATTATTTGAATGACTTTACTGGTAACATTTTGTTTTCCTGTTCGCATCTGTAATAACTTGCCTAGTTGTCGAAATACAATGGTTTCAGAAAGTTTCAGAAAAATTCTTTTTTCCATTGATTACTCAAAAACCTCTTGTTTCTCCTGACGGTGCATGCATCAATTGATCTATTGAATTTCAAAGATCATTGGTCCGAAATTTCATTTAGGAATCAATAAATTGCTATTCATTCCAAACATCAGGGTGGAAATTTTGGGAAGTGAAATTGGATATCAGTCAACTTTTCTTGATGAGAACAATCCTGGAAAATAACTGAATAACTGAAGCAAGAAGGTCATGCAACTATCTATATGCACCCATCAAGAGTAGCAAAGTTCCCTAGGTACAATTATAACATTGCCCTACTCCCATTATTAGATGCACTCACTAGCGGTAGCAAATTCAGACACCTACTACAGAAACATCGTATAATAGCAATATACAGATGCACTCGCTAGTGGCAGCAAGGTGCTATATCTAATAACCGCAGGTGAGTTATAATCAGCAAAGTCGACTTTATAATCACAGGTGATGACTCGCTTGTCCCCTATGCTACTAGAGTCTCTTGGGTAATTCGATTTCTGACTATGGTTGATACGAATCTTCCTCAGTGCAATGCAAGCATGTCCGGCAAGTAAAAGTGGTCACATTTTGCATATCAAAAGTGTCCGCTCGCATGAAAAAAATGGTGTCATGTTCTGAACACATGCCAAGTGACCTTTCCAATCACCACAACCAGAGACTCAGTAGCACCTGAAGCGATATTGCATAGATCATTGGCCGATGTTATACTGGATATGGAGGACGATGTGGATGCTGAAAAGCTGAAAAGCCATGCTCCATGGTGTGCGGCATGTGGTGCCATAGTACTACGTGTATAAATGGTACAACGTTGCTAGATATGGAAAAAGATGACGGAGATGATGATTAAATGTTGATTATTGAAATATTCATTCAATGTGATTGTTTTTCGCCGACTTCTACAAAAAAATCACATTTTACGTTCTAATTTCTGAACGAAAAACCGACTATTTCGGAATGCGAATACTTTTCGTTCGCAGACACTAACTCTTCGTCCACAAAGGATTTTTGTCCGCTGCAGGGTTGCCAATTCTACTGAATTATCTGTAGATCTCCTGAACTGCATATTGATCTACTATTATACTGAAACATTTCATAATCTACTGAAAATTATTTCAACATGTATTCATATTAACTAAGGTGTTCTCCTATATTTGGTTAATCACATACACTTGTAAATTGCATGATATTTCGGCACGCTCTGTTCAAATTAATAGTACAAAATGAGTAATAAATGCACATATAGGTACTAGTAGTAGTAGTAGTAGTAGGTGGGGAGGCTGTAGCCAAGCAAGTAGGCCCCGATGGGCCCTTTTTGCTATCCCCTGCTCTCCACATATCTACGCTTTCTTCACCTAGATTTCCTTTACGAATCTCCCTGACCTTCTGATGAAAGCCAGTATGTCCGTCCACTCTAATATAATCAAGTCCTTCTGTTGAAGTTTGTCTACTCCAAAGAATTTGAATCTCAGCCTTCCGTACGCGTCGCACTCGCCAAGGAAATGGAGTGACGTTTCTTCGTCTTCCCCGCATCTGCGGCAAGTGGGGTTGTCCTCAATTCCCATAAGTGATAGGTGTCTGCCTAGCCTGTTGTGTCCTGTGAGTACTCCTATGAGGAGGCGAAGTACTTGGCGGTCTCTGCCAAGCAGCCACTCCTTCCTTGCTTGGACCGGCCATGAATTCCTTGGCCTTCCTGCAACCTGTAATATTTCTCCAGTATTCTCCTAGTGCCTTGTCCGCCCATTCATCGGAGGGTTAAGTAATTTGACTCCTCGATATACCTAGTACAGGCTCCGGCCCCAGAAACGGCTCCGCGGATCTGGCCCTAGCTAGTTCGTCTGCTGTTTCGTTTCCGGGCACCCCACTGTGACCCAGGACCCATACCAGTTCAACTTCCTTTGATTCTGCTGATATCTCAAGGGTATTTCCACATTCCTGTACCAATGCTGAGCTCACATATCGATACCATAGTTCAATGTGTCAATCTCAAAAATCGTAGTTTCGAGAAAATTGCAATTGAAAATTCAGCTCATAATAATTTGAATCTAATTTTGTAGATTATGTCCCAAGAATATAAAATAATAGCCATACCATAGTAGTTTTCTTTCTACTTCCTTAAATCAACAAATTTAGAAAAAAAAACTTTTGGTAAAAAGTGATTTTGTTCGGACTTGTTACACTATTGATCTGAATTATATAATTGATAATATAAAGCTCTGTGATCAAAAATCATCATCATTATTAGATGAGTGAGTACAATAACTACAATCACTACAGGAACAATGATATAACATAGTATTATAAGTTTGTTTTGAGTGTTGAAATTAACCATTTTGAGCTATGCAATGTAACAACTCTGAATCACTGAAAATATTTCACAGTTCGAAACTGTAACAAGTCTTGATTATTGTATCGAGTTATTACAGTATGGAATTATATGGAATTGAAGTTTCCTTCGGTTCTATAGAGTAACTAGCACCATCCCTTGGTCAGTACTAGAACTTTCAGTTGTGCCCGTGAAAGCTAACAAAATGATGAATCAGATAGCGTATACAACTCAAAATGGTTCTTTTTCGAGTTGTAACACTATTGAACTGAGGTATCGATATAGGTACTAATGATATATGTATGAAATAAAGAAACACAATACTTCATCTGATTCAGATCAAATTGGATTTATTATGTACCTCTGTTGTAACAGTTTGTTTTTTACGTTGAATTTTTTCATTTGTTTTGTATTCTTGTTGTTTATTTTCACTATTCCTCCATATTCTTCATATACTCAAATCTCATGAGTACCTATGTTACTGGGTATCATGGGAGTAGAGAATATGATTAGTTTTGTATGAGAGTGCTTTTTTTGTTTGTCTCTATTCTGTTGAAAATAAGTTACTTTTCTGTTTTCTGAGAGTAAATATTTTGACGTTATAGGTTTATTTCATGAACCTTCATTGGAACTAACATAAAATAGATCTTAAATAGATCTATTGAAATCTACTGATTTTCGACAAGGTATTTACTGATGGAATAAGAATCGAGCTGGCAACCCTGGTCCGCGCGGAGAGTGAGATGACAACAACTGTCATTTGTTGTTGTCAAATTAATTAATCACGGAATCCGCTGGATTTCACGTGTGAATAGTACCATGATGTGAATATAAGTGTTTGAAGTCGACGAAAAAACTTAATATGCACCTCGGCGAAAAACTGTCTATTGTCGTCTCTCCTGATTGCTATCCAGAACTATCAATTTGCAGATTCAACTATTATAGACAGTGTTTCGTCCTTCGTACATAAATCACTATTTCAATCAGTTATTTTTTATTTTTCTATTTCTAATTTCTATTCACGTTAAACACCAATTGCATACCATTTAACTCTCTTGTACTTTTCGATATTTCCTTCCCCTGTATCTCAGAAACTATCCATTGTAGATGATAACTGAATTGGGCATTTTTTATAGGCAATTCCATGTTTTTCAATGCAGCGGTTTTCGAATTATTCAAGAATAACTTGAGAAAAATAACTTTCAAACGCTCCCCTACCGCCCTGCTGATCCCCTACGGGTCAGGACTTTCAGTATGTTGTTCATTGCTCTTTTTTTTACCACTCTTCAAAAATTTTCGACTACACAATTTTTTCCTTATTCGACCTTTTGTGGCGTTCGTTGATCAAAACAAAGAAATTTTGCCGACTAGTGCTATGGTACCAAGAAGACTGGTCCGGGTTCAAGCCAGGGCAGGCCAGTATTTTTGTATCCCACCTAACTCGATTCTACTGTCTTTTCTGTTATATTCTTCTCCCTTTCTCAGTGTTCCTCCAGAATATTGTATTAGGGTATTCCATGATTCATTGCTGAATTCTAAAGTCTCACTATTTTATACTTTGAATCTCTGTTCTCTTTGAATATTGAAGAACGAATTTTTTACACAGATTTCTGGCTTCGGCATGACACTCGGAACTCGGAACAAAATTCAAATATTTCTCAGAGATATGAATGATTCTCAGGTTTTGTTCAATGGAACTGTTGAGGAAGTCAATATTTCAATAAATTTTTCTGATTATCCATTCCCACCCTCCCATTTTTGGACTTATCAATCATAATAGATAAAAATGATTTCAATTTCTCATCATGAGTATATAATTGCTTCTGCTTTTTTTATTCAATATGTGTCTTTTCTCCACCAATTATCTGCAAATTTTTCCGAGATGTTTCTGAATATTTTTTTATGAATGCTGTTTTATTGCCATATTATTCTGATTGATTCTCCAGCATCACTTACATCTAAATTAAAGATCAACTTCAATATGATGAGACAAATAATTCATAATTCACCCGATGATTCAAGGTTATATGAGAATTTCACTGTTATCACCCATCAAGCACAGTTCCGAAGATTCTAAATCTGGGCGAGCAAGTTTGCGAGCAAATGGAAATCATTTTTTGACATCGTTTCACTCTTGACAGGTCCAATGTACCAAGAAGAATCAGTAAGACGATTGGAATACGTTTCTCAACGTAGTATCAGTCACAGATATATTGGATCAGAATTTCGGACCACCCTGTATATTCACAGGGTTTTGAATTCATACGTTGTATTCCCATTTGTTTTACTATCGAAAATCAGATTTCATTTGCATTGTCCTCAAAATAAGATGATTCTATCTTGAAAAAGATATTTTCACTGTATTGAAATCTTGTCATTCTTCAACTCAACGAAATCAATATTATATTTTGTGGGAAGCAAACACTTGCTAGTAGGGTTATGCATAATTTATACATGAATGTACTAATTTCTTCAATACAAGTTTTAATAAAATTCCATTCGATTCAAATGATAACAATGATAACATACTATCCTAACTTACCCTAATCTTGTGCTAAAGTAACTGTTTCACGTGATAAATAAAAAACACTACACCATCCAAGAGTAAAATAGGTAAATATATTGAATTGTGCAAATATATTAAATATCCAATTTTCCACGAACCCATTATTGGAAAAACATTCTGTAAATTAAGACATTTTATAAATGCTTACAAACATTTATGAAATTTCTTGACAAAATATGATTATCTCCAATATTATTCTGAAATAAATATATGTACAAATATCGTTACTAATGCTAAATAGAATGAATCAATATAAAATCAATAAATAAATAAATAGACAAATAAATAATTGAATATACGGAGGCGATTATCTTTCAGACATGATTACCAAAACTATAATTAGGGATTTTTTCAACCTATCCTCATCTTCAAATGTTGAGAGAGCAGCTTTCAAATCTGATACGAATGAGAATTTTGAAACATCAATTCATGAATTGAATCAATCGGCAAGATATACATATAAATAAAATAGATCAGACGATGGTCACCATTGGAAAATAATCCTGAGAATTAGAGAACCATTTTGGTTGTAAATATTCAGAAAATTCAAAGATTCAGTCTTTGGTAAAGTGGGATAAGCAGAAAAATATGACGCGTACTTAGTACAAAAGATATCAGTCTCCTAAGAAAACTTCTAGGGGCAAATATAAAATGAGTCTTTTTTCTGCCATAGGTTGAATACTATGGCAGTGAGTCTAAGAATCTCTCAGAAATTTTGGTGAGCTCAAGAAACAGCGACGTTAGTGAGAAATGCAATGCAATTCCAAGAACGAAGCAATAGTGAAAGAACCAATGAATAGACGAATTCCATTATCATAACCGACAGACCTCAGGTGCAAGAACCTACCAAAAAACAAAATGGTGGGAAACACAAGATAGAATTAGAGCTACGTTCTGAGAAAATATAGAGAATGCAAACTTCATCCACTCTCGAAGAATTGGCAATCGAAGATTCATGTGAATTTTGAAGGAGTAGCACTTCCCACATGTGTATCATAGACCTTCGCCAGAGACTGTATCTCCTCGTGGAAGTTATAACAAAACAAAACAGATTGAGTATAGACACCAATAAAATGATTGGCTTCAAAGATGAGTTCACTTATCAACAATGTGGCAAGAACGTATAGAACGTAAGACAACCAGGAGAATAAGATAGTTAAAGTGGATTCAACAGGAACAGCTGAATGACCTCTTAGGTTTAGATTTCCGAGGAGAATAATAATTAGGAAGCATAGACATGATTCAAAACATGGATTCACAAAAGACCCTTGATGGAAACCTCACTGTATGGAAGACACCACCTAACATTGATTAATTCAATAGTCCTACTGATACAACGACTACTACGAGACTGATTGTCATCTATGTTTTGGACAGGAAATATGCTGCGACAATCAAAAGACCGCGAGGAAATGAATAAAGTATAACAAGTTCTATGACTGCAAATCCACAACCTATACTATCCCATAACTCTGTTGGTAGTATATACATTTTACAAAAAGGGTCCCTGAGAGGTTTACTGCTTGAAATATAATTTGGACCCATTCATTTTCCAATAATTTCCCTGCTATTCCCTATGTTTTATGATCATCTTCCTATCAAAAGCACCATATTATTGTAGGTATCCAGAAAATCCTCGTGACAATCCATCAGACATTCTATCGATATCTTTGACACGATGAACCTTTTCATAGGCCAAACTCCTCTACTGATAATCACTGAGTGGTGGCTCTTCCCGTATATCCAGATCCAGAATCCGAATACCGCCTGTTGTCCCTGACCAACTGGTCGATGTTTTTGCTGTCCTGGATCGTTCCCATGAGGGCGCTATGCAATCTGCTGGCCAGCCAACACATGATGAAGGCCGACAGGAACAGCAGGCAGCCCAAGATGGCGGCTATGACCAGGAATGTGCTGCAACCGCCCTCTATGGACGAGCTCCTGTGGTAGAACTCGCCAGGCATCAGCACAGTGTACTCCAGGTTGCCCTTGATTTTGGTGAATTGTGTGGCGTTGGTGCTGTGTAGGGCTCTGCCGTCTGGACCTTCTATGCAACATAAAGAACATCAATTTATTCATCTTTTCATATATTCATTTATTTATCTACATGAATATGCTACTCAACTGATAGTTCTACCCATCCAGTTACAGAGTAGCACATACTAGAATAATTTAATAAATAAGTAGTGAAAGTTGATCAAGATCGAAGATAAAAAATTAATGTGAGCTTTGATAAGAACTTAGGAATATAGCATCTATAACTCTCATTCCTGAATGATTCTGTATTGAGTTAGATTCATATGTATATAGGAAAAAACGAGATATATTCTTATACATGATAGTGATGATACTGAATTACTTAAAACACCAATCATCGAAAATATATATATCCATCGATGGGTAATAGATGTTTCAAGAAGTAGCAGAATCAAGCCTTCTCCTTCTAAAGGAATGAACTGTGCAAATGGGGTTAACTTGGAAATTCGTTTCTTTCAGGGTCATACCTACTCATGAGCTGAAAGATCCTATGCTAACACAGGGCTAGTTATTTCGGCATCTACGTGAAAGCTTCTGTCGTGGTTCTCACACCAGACCAAGAATATGAGCGGAAGATGAGAAAACTAAACTATATAGCTACGATAAACCTTCTCAACCAAAGCTACGAAGTTGAACGATCCATGCTGGATGTTCAATCTCTTTTTTTATGTTCTGGTTTACACGAAAAGGGATATCCTGTGATTTCTGGAGGTTATATGCCTCGGAGAACACCTCCCTTGGCAATGTGTTCCAGAGCCTCGCTGTTCTTTGAATGAACGAGTCTTTGGAAAGAGATACTCTGCAGGACTCCAAAGTGACCACGAAGGGGTGCGAAGTCTCAACTCGACGAGTTAACCTCGCGGGGACTGCCAAGGGAGGAACAAATTGTTGTTCAATTGTTTCACCACGCATTATCTCTTGATGACATTCAAATTAGAGATGGAACGGTCATCGAACTCGTCGATGACTAATTGATGAGGTCTTTTGACGTGGAAGAAAGATTGATGGCAACTATTTTACGCTATGTAATTTATTTCTCGCTCACAAATCATTTCATTATATGTTTAGTTCCAACATTTTTTCTGTCACTTCTTAACCCAGCATAGTTGATACTGAACGTGGAAATTCAAACTCTGAAAATGTGTCATTCTGCATCAGGTACTTCAAAAAAGTAATGAAAAACCTGAATATACCTACCTCACTACTATCAAAAATCTGGAAAAAATTTCCTCACCTATTATCTCGACGACCTCAGCTTCACGCCTCCTCCTGCCGTGACCGGAAGGCTCGAACAGGTCCAAGCAGAAGTCCGGCTGACAATCGACGGCCTCCATGCAGGCCTTGATCTGCGAGTGGATCCACAGGGTGGAGCGTTCCTTCATGGTGCTGAGGAGGAACGCCTCGAAGTCGAGGAAGACCTCGTTGGGCCGCTCTCTGTACCGCGCCGGTTGGTGCGGGATGATCGACGAGAAGTCCCTGTTTCGGCAGCTGGAACAAAAAAATGGTGTTGAATAGTAGGCAAGCAATTCAAAGATACGTTCGTGTATCGATACGTGGGACTTTCATTTTCTCACCGTGGATAATAGTAATAATAGTAATAATATTCATTTCACTAGTGAAAAAGTACAATGCAGAAGTCAAAGCAGTCACAGTGTACAATGACTAGGAAAAAGTCACAGGGAGCTAGAAGAAGTTGGAGAGACAGAAAACATGTTTTTTTGTAAATAGGAGACAGAAACGAAAAATGTATAGTTGTATAAATAAGTATCATCATCAGAGGATGCTCATAATACCAGAATGGGATCGAAACTTGTTGAATGTCCTAACGGATCCCGTTCATTTTTGTCCTTCGCCAAAGCTGTAGGAAGAAACTCCACTTCCAGCTCGTTTCCTCCTCTAACCAAGGAAGATGAAACACTAACCACAACTGCCCAGGAGAAAGCCAACATTTGTGACTCTGGATACATCGGGAAAACAACCTCCAAACTTGACGACAATTGCCAGTCACATGCCCGAGATCACCTTTCGCCAACGTACTATGAGGAAGATTTCATTGGGTCTCAACACCAACAAAGCTTGTGGCTCTGACGGAATCCTACCAATTGATCTCAAGAAATGTGCTGCCGAACTAACACCTGTTCTCTGCAAGTTGTTCAACTACTCTTACAAATTTGGGTATATTTCCGTCCAACTGGAGAATTGCAAGAGTACAACCACTTCCTAAAAAAGGTGAAAAGACACTACCTAGCAACTACAGACCGATCGCATTGCTATCTATTATTTCAAAGATCACGGAGAAAGCTATCAACATCGAGCTCATGAAATACTTGGAACATTCAGGTATTATCACCCAGACAGCACCAGATATTCCATGAATCTCCCTATCATATTCCTTTTGGAATATTGGAATATTCTAGAAATAATCTGGAATATTCCGGAATATCTGTGGAATATTCTCTAAATATGCGAATGGGAATTCCTCAGATATTCATAGAATATATCCAAAAGAATATTCCATGTTGAATATTCCTGGAATATTCCAATAAACATATTCTAAAATGAAAAAAGTGACCCTAGTAGGGATCGAACTCGTGACCTCAAGACTATCAGACCAACGCCTTGACCACTAGGCCACTAATCGAATTGAATGATTTTGTACATATCAATTTCTTGTGAGAGCGTTGTTCGAAATCGGATCATAAACACTTTTTGTTTCAAAATCCCCTTACATCTAAATTTGATGTTCGATACTCACAACTCTGAAATAATGATGGGTATTTATGTGTTGAGAAACATAGGAATATTCATGGAATATTTCATGAATATACACCACAGAATATTCAGTTGAGAATATATCATGAATATACCGCACAGAATATTCAGTTGGGAATATTTCATGAATATACAAGCGAGAATATTCATTTGGGAATATTCCTGGAAAATTCATACCTGAATATTCCCTGAACATCACTTTGGAATATTCCTTCTAGATGTTCCAGAGGCATGTATATATTCTAGGAATAATCGATGAATATTCGGAATATACTCCTCCTTTTTAGCATATTTAGAGATTATTCTAGGAATATCCAGTGCTGTCTGGGCAACGATAGACAATATGGCTTCCGTCATCAGAGATCAACTAGTGACCTGCTCGCTTACGTCACCCCATATAATGGCAGCAATCTATTGAAAAATATGGTGAAACATTAGCCCTGGCACTCGATATCTCCAAGGCATTTGATCGAGTCTGGCACCACGGACTCCCCGCCAAGCTTCCATCTTATGGCCTGCCTCCCCAGCTATGTTCTCTGCTAGCTAGTTTTCTCTCAAACAGGTCTCTCCATATTGTTGTCGAAGTAGTTTCATCTGACTCTTTCATCATAAATGCTGGTGTTTCGCAAGAATCAATTCTAGCACCAACACTATATTTCTACTCCATATCAACGATTTGTTGGAAGCAACTTCAAGTCCAGTACACAGCTTCGTGGATGATAGTACCCTTCATACCGCCCTCTCTTCCAGGGCTCCAATACCAGTCTGGCAAATCAGAAACGAACGAGGGAGAAATGATGACCACATAAATATGGACTTGGCAACAATAATTCTAGAATGGGGATTCGATAACTTGGTAGATGTCAATGCAAACAAAACACAGGCATGCTTTTTTTCTAGGAAAGCCGATCTCACTGTGCCCAACATAAGCTTGTCAGGAGTAACTATACCTTATTTGAAGACATCAATTTCGATGCTTTGTATTACTATCAGCAATAACATTTCTTGAGGAAATCACGTGAGATCAATTGCTCAAAGTGTATCCCAAAAACTTGGTTTTCTGTTTCGAGCCAGGAGCTATTTCACTTCCAGTCAGCTGCTCATGATCTATAAGGCACAGATCTGACCTGTCCTGGAATACTGTTTCCATATTTGGAGTGCAGCACCCAAACATACCCTGAAACATTTCATCTGATTGTATCTCATTTCTTTCTCAAGAAGTAGAATACGTATTTCACGTAATGGTATCTAAATGTTATGCAAAATGATAGGGCTCGTTGAAAGTGGAAAAACGAGTCTATTATATAAAAAACAACTGAATGACGCCTTGGCTGATGATTTCTTTGTCACCTGGTACATAAGAGTAGTTTGAAAGAGGTGCGTAGCGCGATGCCCAATTCCCACCAAGCCCATCTCCATGTCGACGATTCCGAAAATTGCGAAAGAGCGCAACGTTGCCAGGTTATGAGAAAAATTCAGAAAACACAAGATTCCCACCCCGTCACTTTTCTTAGATTCCCACGATGCCCAATTCCTGAGAAGCCCAATTCCTACCATGCCCGCCTACCTTGGATTCCCACCATGCCCACTTTTCATACATTCCCACGATGCCAAATTCCCACCACTCCCTTCATCATGGTGGAAATCCAGAAAAGAAGGTGGGCAGGGGGGAAATTGGGCATCGTAGGAATTGGGCATCGTCTATAAATTTATGAAAAGTGGGTATGTTGAGAATCCAAGGAAGGTAGGCATGGTGGGAATTGGGCATCGTAGGAATTGGGCATCGTAGGAATTGGGCATCGTGGGAATCTATCAAACTTAGGCATGGTGGAAATCTTGTGTTCTCTGAATGTTTCTCCTAACCTGGCAACGTCGCGCTCTACGGCAATCTTCATAATACTCGACATGAGGGTGGGCGTTGTAAGAATTGGGCATCGTGAGAATTGGGCATCGTGATAATTGGGCATCGCGGGATGCTCCCGTTTGAAAGTACTCCTTACATTATTCAATTCTTCAACTCAATTCTGTTTCAATAATGCATCTCTATTGAACTATTTATTCCTAAGAAAACGACTAGTATGAACTTTTTTTTCATCGCTTGGAACGCACGAAAGACAATCCCTATAATGTTCGAAGAACATCGTGCGTTCCTAGGAAGGATAGGGACAGGAGGTAGATATTGGAATTTTTTTGAACTTCTGGAGATTATACGTTGTTGGGAATACTTCCTCAGGCAATGAATTCCAGAGCCTAGCCGTTCTATGGATGAAGGAGTTTTGATAAAGTACTGTTCTACATCTTTCGAGGTTGACTTTTCGAAATCAACCTCGATGTGCTGAAGGGGCTTGTCTAGTTCGTCTGACTGGTATTGCTAGTGAAGGGATGATAGCAGGGATTTCCGAAGAACATTTCCCGTGGAAGTATCGATAGAAAAGTGTTCCAATGATGTCAAAGAGTGAGTGGGTGTGGCGTCACCCACCCGGCGAATGGCTCTTCTCTGGATGGAATCTAGGAGCATCAGAATATGTTTTGGTGCTGAACCCAATATGTCGGAACAGTATTCCAGATCAGGCCGTATCTGCGCTTTGTAGATCATTAGAAGCTGTTGAGGTGTAAAGTAGCTTTTCGCACGGAACAAGAATACAATAGTCTCTTCACTGTGAGTTTATACCTATTAATTCGACTTTTTTTTCTCATTCTGTGTGCAGATGTTCCTACGGATAAACTTCTCACTTGTCACTATAAAATTTCATCAACCATGAGAAACTTTTTCTCGGTGCAGAAGAAAAGTATCAGGAAGATAGTCACCAAGTCACTCTATATTTTACAGCAGTCAGTTCGTACAACCTAACAGTACCTAATTTTAATAATAAAATAATGATATTAATGATGTAATTAAAGTCTAGCGCATGTTTAGAATAAACTAAAGAGACTCGACTTTGCTTAATGACTCTTAACCTGATTCCCCGAGCAAGCCACACTTGATGTCAACCCAACAGTTATAATTCCACAATTTTTAATGAGCACTTCATTTAAATAAGTATAAAATATCAATGTAGAAAACGCCTGCATGAATTTCACCTTGTTTAGAAAATCAGTTCAATGTGAATAGAGAATGAGCATAGGTTAATACATACTATTAGTTATTTATGACAAATCGTTTCATGAGATAAACAGTGAAAGTCCTCATACTATGAATACCTACATTATAGTGTAATAGTGAATCGTTCTGAATTTACATTTTTTCATATAACGAAAAATATAAAAAAAAGGTTGATATTCGAAATTATTAGAACTTTTGAACCCAGGAAGCACAGAATATTTCATGGATGTTCTCTCAAAGTGCACAACAAACCTCCTTCAGAATATTCCAGAGAATATTCATGGAATATCATGAGGATGTTCTGAATAATCGTAGAAAGTTTCACGAGGATATACATAGAACATTTCATCTAAATATCCTTGGAACGTTACTGAATATTCCATTATATTCTATATGAATGTTTTTCAGGAATGATCATGGAATGATTTGTTCGAATATTCTAGGTATGTTGTTTATGTAAACATGTGAAGTAACCCCCAATGCCGTGCCATATGTATGCAATGCAACAAATATTGACAAATAATCCATGTGGTGAGAATATTCTACCTGCATTAACAGCAGGTTAGGTTTTCAAGGATGTTCGAATTGTAGTTTCAATATAAATATAACCACAGAGTGACATATTTGTGTATGGACCAGGTGCTCTAATGGCAAATACCGCGTCAGTGCCAGCTATAGGAACAAGACGTGGAAAATGTTAGGTTAGTGAGCATATCAACAATGATAATAGTGATTATTTATTCCTCTCCATACTACACTGTGTTTGACATGATAATCAAATGAAGCTAAACAATATCGTTGTTTGAGACAAAAAAACTATTGCTTGCCGTGATTATTCAAAAACAAGTTATCCATCCCGAGAATAACGAATGAAATACAGATCAAGCAAGTATTTGAATCTTGAAGGCTTCCCTGATCAAAACAAAAATAATAAGGTGTATTTGAATCTCCAGCATGGGTATGAAATGCCAAATCTGCTAAAATCGGAAACAAATCAGGTATGCGTCTCAACCCAAATAAACAACCGTCACAATGTTTATCATTCTTGATGACTTCCAGTACATCCTTTTTAGTTCCTAGGAGCTAAAGTTCAACTTTAGCTCCTAGGAAGTAAAATTCAACTTTAGCTTCTAGGAACTAAATATGTTGCCTAGCAACATACCTATTTTTTTGTCAGTAATAGAAACGTCAATTAAAGAGCTAATTTTGGTATCAAAATGGACGACTTTTGTGTCCGCTGCAGAAAAAAACAATTTTTCTCCAAATGACAATAAAAGTGTCTTTTTGATGACACTTAACAGGCAGAAAAGGTGTACTTTTACTGCCTAGGCAGAAAAATTTCGTTGCTATGCAACGTTCCAAGTAATAATTCGAATTAACTTGGTAATCAAAATTGACACTGACGTTGGGTGAACACAAAATGATGGATTTTTTGGAGTTTGCATGAAATTGGACGAATTTGAAGAAAAAATTATATGTTTCACATGGTAGAAAAGCAGATTTTATGCATTGGCTGGTTTCCTAGCCTCGGCTACGCCTTGGCTATGAAACGGCTTTAAATCTTGTGTTTTTCTGCCTAGTAAAACAAATAACTATTTTTCTCCAAGTGGCAAGAAAAGTGGCATTTCTCTGACACTCAACAGGCAGGAAAGGTGTACTTTCTCTGCCTAGGCAGGAAAAGTTTGTTGCCACGTAACGTTCCAAGAAATTTGAATGAAATTGGTAATCAAAATTGACCCTGACATTGAGTGAACAAAAAATGATGGAGTTTTCATTGTAAAAATTACACGAAATTGGTTCTACAACATTTGGAGAAAAATTAACTATACTATGGACTACAGATACAGATAGGTTGTATTTCAATATTCCAGCATAGCAAACCTGGAATCTATAAGTATGTTTCATGAGCAATTCATATTTTCATTCGAATTTGTCCAAGACCTGTTCAGTTCTTAACTTACTTTGTTACTACGAAAAATAGATGAAAATCTATATTTTCACTCATCACACTGATTGACCAGTTCACCATTACAGACAACTGTATCATGTATATACATGTAAGCTGAGTTATAAGGTGGTGAAATGAAAACGTTGCACAAATAACATAACAACTCTGTCTGCGATATATCTGAACAAACCTAAAATCAACATATTACATTACTATCTGATAATATTGATTTCAATATTGATGCAACGGCTCATAAACGTTTTACTACATAATATCATGTTGGATACTTCAGAAGGACATTATCGCAATGTAATTTCAACAATATCACAAAACTTATAGCTGGAAAATATTTTTGTTTTGTATCATGTTTAGTTATTCGCGAGATTCACGAAGTGGGCGACATCTAGGTTACATAATACGAACTTCAAACTGGGGGAAAACAAACTGTTGTCTATGGATGAAGTGCATAGACTACATTGCATTCAGCTTGCTGTAGCTGTAGTCAAACTTGTCAAACATAAAACGTGTTGGCACTGTTGATGATGATTGAGTTGGTTAATTTTTTTACATTATTACATTTTTATTAGTTTAGTGAACAAAGAACGGGTGAAAAATTGGAGATAGTTCAAACAATTCAAACTAATTATGAAGAGCAAATCAATTGACATATAAAAGAACAGCTACAACATGTTTACAATACCCAGATTGTCCTGCTTTGCATGAACAAATACAAATCCATTGTTCTACAGGAGCTCATCTGGACCTCAACTTCAATTTAACTTCATGTGTGGAAGATTTCATCGCCGAAGTTTGTAGACAAAGTGCAAAAATGTGCCTTTTGTCACAGTTTAAGGAAATACCCATTCCGTGAACTGTGCTTTTGTTGAAGTCTTCTGCCTCACACAAAATTACATGATTAGCACGGAGAACTGCTTCTCCTTCCACTACTGGTCGGCTTTTTCCATCTGAATAGAGCAAAATATCTGCCAAAAGAACATCTACAACAGGCATTATTAGCGTTTTCGATCGAATATTGACAATCAATGCCAAGAAATTCAAAAACATCACTCTTATCAGTATACAGTACACAAGCTAATGGCACTAATGGGATTGAGTCAATTGAGTGAGGATTGAGTTCGTTTTCCCCCAGTTTTGACGTGTTTTTGACATGGAACGATAAAAACCGAGCGCCACCTGGTAACATTGATTCCCGCGAATAGGCCCCAGAACAGAACGAGTTTTTCTTTTCTCGTCGTATTCGCTCCAAAATGTTCATCTGGGGATTTTGGGGAATGAGGAATACGAAAAAAAAAGGCTAGAGATTGAAAAAAATATATTTATTGACCCCATTGGGATATTTCGTCGTCAACAAAGGGGCCAGGTAGCCGTGCGGACAGAGTGTCAATATTCTAATCCGCGTTCGCTTGCCGGTCGTGGGTTCGATTCCCATCGACTGCAGAAATTTTTCTGATGGCCCAAGGAAGTGTTTGGGATCACACGTTAAAAGGTAAAGCCCCCGTTATTCCTTGCTCGCGCAAGTCTCTCGAAGACTTCTGAGTGTTGCTCGTAAGGGGGCAACCGAATGACGGATAGAACGATTTTAGAACGATAAACGATTTTTAACTATTTTTGAATTCCTATTTCTTTCACTTCACCCACTTCCACACTTTACCCTTGTATCTCTTACTTCGAAATGCACTCCATTCATTTTAAATTCGAATGTTCCCATCATTCCTATCCTCCATTTTCCACATTCATCATTTGTAAACAAATAGTCAAGTTTACCTTCAACCAACTTCAACAACTATGGAGTTGGTAAACCCAAGGACAGGTAGGGGAGGTGTACCCAAACGAAAATTATGTCACGGTTAAACACAATGAAATGGGATTATCAGCTTTTCCATGAAGGGTAATGGGAATGAAATATCCGAGGAAATATCCCTCATGTACTCACCCGTCTTTGACCAGGGCCACGCTACCGCCCACGTGCGGATCGTCGGGATCGGGGCTGACCGTCACCTCCATCAGCTTCACGTACTTCCACGCCGAGTCGGGGCTGATGCGCGCGCGCAGCTGCAGCTTGGCGCCGATGGGCACGGCCTGGTCGACGGGCAGCTCTGCGCCGGAAGCGTTGGCGGGACCGAGGCGGGAGGCGGGCGCCTCCTTGTACAGGGCGACCTCGTATTCGAGGCGGCCGGGGGTTTCTTCGACGACGCCGGACACGCGGGCGCCGTGGGGGCTGAAAATGCAAGTTTGCTGAGTTTGCTTCTAGTAGGGATTCCACCCTTCCGACTAAATCTATCCTACTCATCATTTTTTGACAAAGGACTCCGCACTAAACTATAGGGAAAATGGATCTCGATGAAAATCGCTGAATTTTTGGTATGTTGACGACTTTGAAATACTGAAAAGATATTCCATTGAACTAACCTCAAAAAATTGACAATTTTTCCGATATCAACCTCCAAATGAAATTTTTTAGAGAGAGAAAAAATATTTGAAAATGGTTGAATTTCTGGCATGTTGAAGATAGGAATGAACTGATGAAAAAATCCATTTGACCTAGCCTCCAAAATGTACAGTTTTCTCGATATTGACCTCCAAATGTAATTTTTTCAAGAGAAAAAAATCTCTGAAAATGGCTGAATTTCTGGTATTTTGTAGATAGAAATGAACTGATACATACATACCAAAAATTCAGGACACTTCAATTACAAGCAGAATGAGTTCATTGAAACATTAAAAAAATGTGTGGGATGAGCAAAAAGACACAAGAAAACATGAAAAATTCATCAGAATAAGATGAAAACCTGACTAACTTCAGAAATCTACTCACCTACTTATATGAGGATGTTCAGGGAAATGTGTTTGAAAATCGAAGCTGCAACATAATTTAATTGACTCCTTTTTCTAGTAGGTTTACTCATAGATTTCTGAGGATGCCCCATAATGAAGGACGAAACGTCGATGATGATAAAACATTATTTTTTCCTGACTCTCCTGACCTTAAAATTGTACAGAATAACATTCTGAAGGTCAACTTCCATACAGTTGTTTGAATATACCATTTAGGAGTCAGTAGCAGTAAAACTGTCAATTATTTGAGTTTAAGTCAATTGAATTTTTTCATCAGTTCATTCATATCTACAGCATACCTACCTGATCCAGCCATTTTCATGGATTATTTCTCGAAAAAATTAGATTTGGAGGTCAATGTCGAAAAAACTGTCAATTTTTTGAGGTTAGATCAATTCGATTTTTTCATCAGTTCATTCCTATCTATCTTGAGACGGCAAGACCTTGTAGGGAATGGTCTGAACTGGAAGGAGAGTCAATACAATAATACTATCCTGAAAACCATGCATCTCGGTGCAGTCATCTCCTAATCACCTCTGTAAGTTCAGAACTGCATTTTTGGGAAGGTTATGTTAGGTTAGGTTAGGTTAAACGTGAGTGTGCCCATGTCAGGCCCTCCACTGCGGCCTATGGCCTATTGTGGCTCACCCTATGGTTATATTTCTCCCAGTATATCTAATAATATCTATCTGAGGAGTACGTTGGGAGAACAATTTATCAGGTTTTCTGGCCCTACTGTTGTATTGCCAAATGTTGTAAACCTGATTCTGACCGCTGCAGGGCATGTACCTGAAATGTGTTAGCCGTTTCATCCTCCTCCATGCATAGACGGCACTCTGCATCTTGTGCAAGTCCGATTTTGTGCATGTGGTGTTTGAGTTTGCAGTGGCCAGTGAGCAAACCTACTATAACTCTGAGATGTGCTCTACTGAGTTCTAGTAGTTTGTCAGAGTCCTGTTTGTTCCTTGTACAAGCTTTGGAATGGGCTAGGCCCGGTAGACTCCGCCAATACTTGAGTCTCTTGTTGTCGGCCCAGGATGTTATCACATTCTTATCACGTCCGCTATTTCGTTCCCTTCTAGGCCCGTGTGACCTGGTATCCAGACTAGGTTAACTAGGCGTTGTGCTAGTCGGTTTAAGGTTTCTCTGCAGTTCCATACTGCCCTGAATTTAAAGCAGTTGGATTCAAGTGCTTTCAGAGCTGCTTGACTATCTGAGAATATCTTTATTGTTTTTTGTGTGTGTGGTGTCGATTTTCCAGGTCCCTTGCACACATTTCAATGTCGTATACCTCTGCCTGGGATATCGTAGCTAGTTTACCCATAATGAATGAGCGTTTCACTACTAAGTTCATCCTGTATATTCCGGCTCCGACGCCTTCCAAAGTTTCGGAGCCATCGATCGGTATACCAGCATTCATTGACCTACTTCTTCTTCTTCTTCTTCGATGCACTGGCGGGCGGGTGAACCCCCTGCACGTGGGCCTCCTTATTCGGGCCCATTGTGCGTCCACATGTTACGACATCCAGCTGGGTATGCCGACTGCCTTGGAGAAGTTCAGCAGCTTCCTCAGCTGAATCTCTTTCACGTCCTCTGGCCTCAAAATTATATTGCCAAGGACAGCCCTCCTCTGATGAGTCAGTGCTGGACACTCAGTGAGGACATGTGATGACGTTTCGTCATCTTCCAGGCCCATCTGCAATGGGGGTCATCCTTGATCCCGATAAGCTAGCTCTAGGTGCCTATTGAGGTGGTTGTGCCCCGTTAGGAGCCCCACTACCATTTAAAGGTTTCGCCTGTTTAGGAATGAAACCTCTTTTGCGAGCCTCTTCGACGGTTCCTTTATGTGGAGCTTCGATTGTCTCATTCCTGGTGTCTCCTGCCATATTTTGAGGAATTGCTTCTGCAGCTGTTCCTCTATAGAGGACATTGCCAGGCTTTTTGGTATTCCCAATATTGGTTCCGATCCGACCGAGGTCCGTCCTGAACCGATCTTTGCCAGTCTGTCTGCCTCCTCGTTTCCGGGTATTCCCGAATGTCTCGGGACCCACATGAGGCTGTTTTTCTTGATTTTGCCAGGTTTCCCAAGGCTTTTCTGCACTCGGACACTCAATTGGATGTGATCCTATTGGATTGCAAAGCCAGTATTGCAGCTTTGCTGTCCGAGCATATAGAGATTGGTCTACGACCTCTCATAATTAGGTTTTCTTGGACACAAGTGAGTATTGCAAGTACTTCTGCCTGGAACACTGAGGCATTTGCCCTACATAGGTTGGTTTCATTCCGAACCCATTATTCTCTTTCAGATTTTTTGGGAAACTAGTCATCGAAAACTGATGAACTATGGTATTTTTGGAAAGAGAATTGAACGCCCTTCAAAATGATGTGCATCTTTTCATATGAACTTCAACGGGGGTAAGGTTGTACCAAGAGGGCTAAAACTAATCATTCTCAAAGCTCAGTTTCAATCTTCTCCTGAAGATGCTGACAGAGTTAGCGGAACACGTATCAAGGTGTAAAAAATCGGTTTAGTTAGTTGTGCGTTGCATCCTTTTTCACTCATTTTGATTGAAATTGCAAATCGTTGAGGCAAATTTCAAATTGAATTGAAATTAAGACCTTCAGTCACGGTCTGACGATGAAAGAACACACACAATGAAAATGCAATGGATTTCGATTGCCTGCAGATCTGTACCGTCTTCGGACGGTGTGTCTGTGGTGATAATTGACCCGAGGACGAAGGGCCTTTAGGCGACAACCCTCGCGACGGCCTGCAGGCCGCCTGTGTGTGAATGGGTGCCTTTTCATTTGGTTTGTGACATTTTTCCAAGGATTCAACCCTTACACTCCCGAGAATGATCTGGAAAGTATAACCGGAATTTTTCTAGCAGGTGTAACTCAGAGTCATCTCAGAAACTTCCTGAATATTTTTCGAATTTTTTCAGGATGATGTAATATTATTTATTTCTGACTGGTATATTATAAGCTTATATCATCTTAGTTACACTATCAATTAGGAGGGTCATAACTCCCTTGGGATGTTATAGATGCTATAATTCCCTCTAGCTAAAATTAAATAAGAAATGCATAGCAACAACCACGCAAAAACGTAGCAATAAGGAATCTCCTATTCGCGGTAGTCAAGATCATCATCTGACGTTCTGATGACATTGAAACTATACGGAAAAACATGTCTAACTTCCAATCGGGAAGGTATCTAATGAATGAAATTCGTCAGAAATAAAATTATCTATGTATCACGGGAATTATAGAGCCTTAATAACCTCTGGCAATTGCTGTCCCTCGGGCCAGAGGCCCTCGGGACGCAAACTTTGCCATCGGTAATTAAGGCCCTCATAATTCCCTTAATACATAAATAACTATTATTTCTTACAGTGACATTATAAGCTTATATCGTCATAGTTACGATATCTATTATGAGGTTCATAACTCCCTTGGGATGTTATAGATGCTATAATTCCCTCTAGCTAAAATTAAATAAGAAATGCATAGCAACAACCACGCAATAACGTAGCAATAAGGAATCTCCTATTCGCGGTAGTCAAGATCATCATCTGACGTTCTGATGACATTGAAACTATACGGAAAAACATGTCTAACTTCCAATCGGGAAGGTATCTAATGAATGAAATCAGTCAGAAATAAAATTATCTATGTATCACGGGAATTATAGAGCCTCAATAACCTCTGGCAATTGCTGTCCCTCGGGCCAGAGGCCCTCGGGACGCAAACTTTGCCATCGGTAATCAAGGCCCTCATAATTCCCTTAATACATTAATAACTATTTCAGGATTCTCACAATTGTGTTATTTGGGAGTGAAATGGGACTTCAACTCAGAATGAAGAAAACGCTAATCATGGAGAAATATGCATTCATTGTTTATGGTTATGGTGTTTATGGTAAGCACAGGCATATTTAGGCATACCGCAACTTTCCAATCAGCAACTCTGTGGTGATAACGGAGAATCAATGACAGGCCAGTGGTCAATTTCATCATATCGTTTGTCATGAAAGCTTCTCTAGTTGCAAGAAGAACGGTTGGTTTATTGGCATATTCATCCAGCCACTCAACAAATATTCCACCGGCACTTCTACCTGTTCATGTGCATTCAACTCCCACTGGTCATCTTTATCGGAATCGATTCCCAGATCTAATCCTATCTTATCCAACAAATCGTAAATTTCATCTTGATCTTTTTGCAATTCAAAATTCTTGGAATGGAGGACAGTTTTGACACACTGGAATGTTTAAATCAAAATCGATAATGATCATTGATCCGTAGCGGTACGCTTCCAGAGCACACAAATGTGATGGTACACAAATATGTCCTGAAATCTGAAATTTAAGAAACAGCCACTAT